GGCCCCGCCGCGCTGCGCCTCCTCCCGCGGCTCCGCCCCGCCGCCGTCCGGCCCCGCACGTGTCGCCCCGGGAGTCCCCGCCGAGGCCCTGAGCCCTGGCGGGGGCCGCCGGACACAAAGGAGCGCCGAGCAGGGACGCCGCGGAGTGTAAAGAACGAATCGGACGCCGGAGACCCGGAGCTGCGGGCCGCCAATCCGCCTGCAGCAAGTTTGCTCAACTCGGAAGGTGTAACCCGAGCCGCCGGCGGGGGAGGGGCGGCCAGGCTGGGGTGCTGCCGGCGGGTCCCCACCCGAACCCCCTCTCGCCTGTACCTACAGCGCTTTACCCTAGCTGCCAGCTCGTCATTTGTCAGCGTGGGCTACAGCTGTTTTGCAAAATGGTACTAGTGAAAAAAATAATAATAAAGGCAACATTCATGCGGCTGCAGAAAAGGTCCTTTGTTCACACACCAATTAATTTGCGGATGTCGCTTCATAGAGGTTATTTACTGTTGCAAGCTATATTTGGTGTGCTTTAGCCAAAACTGCGGAATTGGAAGTGCTGGGATTTTTTTTTACTGTCATTTTTTTTTTAAAAAGGAAGTTATGCCAGTTTACTTGGACATATTTTTTCGAGTACACATCACAGCTACATTGTTTAATAATGGCTCACAGACCAACTGAAAAATAAGGATCATGTTAATGCACGGATACTTTAGATTCTTTCATGGTGACACGCAGAAGTACAGCTTGTGGATGGCCTTAAAGGATCTCAAACTACCTCCGTATAAATCATCATGAGGGACAACTAATACTCGGACAGGCCAGGTTCGTTCTGCTACTCCTCTATAAACATTAAACTTCCCACAAGCATCTCATAAACTCTTAAAAGAGTTTTTGTTTATCCTTTTATTTTGCCCTACTTTGAAATTGGGCTTTTTCTTTTCTCAACAGACCTATTTTGAGTGTGTGAGACAGGAGGTGTTTGAAAGGCCTCCAAGAAGGAGGTAAGAGCCTTGGGATGTCACTGGTTTTTTTTTTATTATGAACCCTTGCTCAGTTGAAAGAGTTTAATGGTTTCCTGTACACAGATAGGCTAGAGGAGGAGGCATTCTCTATGTGGTCGTTGATTTTATTATTATTATTATTATTGTTATTGTTATTACTTTTAGTTCTTTGAGATGAGTCTCTCTGTTGCAAAAGCTGGCCTCCAGCTTTCAATCTTCCTACCTCAGCTTCCCGCATAGCTGTAATCAGTGGCATTTGCTGCCATGTTCAGAAGGTCACTGGTGTTTTTAAAAATTAATTTCCCCTTGCACCCAAGTATAATTTCTTTTAGTCTCTGGAAACTTAATCATCCTGAAAAATTCTAGTGTGCACTGTTACCTTTCCTCTTGGGTCAACAGAAAATATATTTTCCCATCAATCCCTTCCAATAACCCACAAATCAAATACAAAGACTCTAGAATGGATGAATAGATAAAGAAAATGTGGTATATAAATACTTTATGTGTCACTATGGACCGCCCAGGCTGGTATAGAAACTAGACCATAGACACTCATCACTATGACCTGCTCAATGAATTGGGAGTCAGCTTTTGTAAATGAAAGGAAGCCTGCCATATCTTACACCATAAGGGCATCCTGTTAAGAGAAAAAAGCCATTGTAAAAGGACCATTCCACTTAGAAGTTACCTAAAGAAATCAAGATCCTAGGAACAGAACGTAAGGAGACAGAGTTTATAGGGCCGGAGTGAGCAAGGGGTGTTGTTCAAGGGCATAGAGTTTCAGTACTGCAAGATGAAAAAGTTATGAAAACCCATTGCACACATGACTTGTACTAAAACATTACAACATAGTTAACATGGCAATTTTTCTGGTTTTTATTTTTTTAAATCACAATACAAAGCATACAAGAACAAACAGAAACATCAACTGTTTGATAATGGAAATGGCAGAAAGGGAGAAGTATTCTTTTTCTTGTCAGTTATTGAATGTATGAGGCAGGCCAGTACTGGATAGACACGGAAGACACTAAGACACACAGGACTCAGTCTGTACCCTTGAGAAGCCAAGGCTGTCAATTTTCATGAGATTTTGAACATAATATTCTTATTCCTTTTGGAAATGTGCTGATTCCTTGATGATTCTGATTTAAGCTACTACATTCAATAGTAAAGGTATATACAAAATACAAATATTAAAAGTTCAGTGAATACTTCTGTGCGATGTGTCATCAGAGAGAAGTTCACAGAGGCTCTTAAATGATGAGGAACAGTTTGCTAGATTTGGAGAAAGACAAGGTTGATTGGAAGGAAAGGAATGTTAAGACAAACTGGATGGACATCTCATGCAAATCACATGGAAAGGTATAGCGACATGAATAATGGCTGCCCGTTCAAAGAACAGCAAGAGATGAAGCTAATGCTGGCATGTAGATTCCTATATCGAAGCCAGAAAAAAAAAAAAAAAAAAAAAAGTGGTGGAGGCTTTCCAAGAGATTTCCTGTGAAGTTTGGCCTGGTTATAGATTTGGGTCCCCTAGGAGGGCCACCTCTCCTTGTAAGAATTCTGCCCTGGCAAGAATGAAGCTATTCTAAAGAGATGCTTGTGCCCCTCCCTTTGACTAGGAATTTCCCCAGGAATCACTTGCTGGGAGAAGGAAGAGGCTGAAGCCTGGTCCCTGCCAGAGAAGGAACTTGTCACTGAGGAAATTTTGCACAGTTCAGACAGTTTATGAGACCACCATGCAGGAGCGACAGAAACCGAGACAGTAATGATGGTGGGGAGCTCACCTTGACCAAAACTGCTTGGTTATGCTTGCCCTTCCCCTCTACTTAAACCTAAAGCTCAAGGGGTGGGGGGGATCACTTTACCTCTTTATTCTTCTTCCCAGTGTGGCCACAGTGACTAAATCTCCTTTCTCTGATTTTTCATTGTTATCTGTTTAATTTTTGAGACAGGAATCAGAGCCTATGTTGTTAGGGCTGCCACAGGGCCCAGGTTCTGACCTTAACAACTACAGTTATACCCCACTCTGTATAGGACACAGCTTGGCTAGATCATCACTGTCTTAGTCTGTTCTTCATTGCTGTGACAAAACACTCTGACCAGTACCAACTTGGGGAGAAAAGGGTTTATTTGTCTTACATCTCCCAGGTTGCACGCAGTTCATCAGGGAGCCCAAGGTGGGAACTCAGGGCAGGAACCTGGAGGCAGGAGCTGGAGCACAGGCCATGGAGGAACGCTGCTTACAGGCTTGCTCTCCTGGCCCCTGCTCAGCCTGCTTTCTTATGCAACACAGGCCCACCTGCCCAAGGGTGGCACCACCCACAGTGGGCTGGGCCTCCCACATCACTCATCAAGAAGGTGCCCCTCAGACATGGCCACAGGCCAGTCCAATAGAGGCAATTTCCCGATTGAGGCTCCCTCAACCCAGGTGTGTCAAATTGACACTAAAGCTATCCAGCACAATCACCAAACCCAGTTTCTCCTCCAAGATAAATAATTGAATTTTCTAAACTTTTTGCATATAGGTTAGGCAACGTAATTCATTCTCACTAATGAGTGTAATCTTGCTGAGCAGTAAGAAAAGGTATGCCCCTTATTATTGGGAAGGGGAAATGCCTCCCCCATAGGCTATCAAATAAAAATCCACTGCTAAGTATGGATTAGTTCTTTTCCAGTAGTTGGCTACTGGGATCCCATAGACCCATACCTCAGACATTACAGGCTATTGTCATTGGTCTTGAACGCCATCCAGAACTTGATGGTAAAACTTTTTTGCTGAAGACACCACATACCTGAGTCATCACAACTTGAAGAAATTAAGCTGGTGCTGACTTGGAAGTTTCATTTTTGCTGGCTAGCTTTCATAGTGCTGAAGGATTCTAGGTATACTATCAGGAAGAAAAAGTCACCAACAATCTTACCCTACTGTGAACCCTAAAAGCTATAATAATAACTGGCCTGCAAGATATGCTCACTGGTATAATAGTGGCACAAATGTTACAGGAGTAACCAACCACTTTCTGATTGGATTTAAAGCCCATTCCACAAGATGGAATCCATGGTGCCATTAACTGGGCCAAAAACCAGTGACTGGCTAGGTCATAGACCCTAGGGGAGAACCTAGTACTGTTATTTTGCTAAATATACAAAGTAATAAGTTCTTATCTTTATACTCACATCTTACTCTATCTCTCAACCCTCCTCACAGAAGCTATCTTTATACTCACATCTTACTCTATCTCTCAACCCTCCTCACAGAAGCTTTTTGCAGTACAGAGACCCACAACCAGTCAATGTGTAGAGAGTAAGAGACTGTGGAGTGCTAAGCTGTAAATGGGACATCTGTTTCACACTCCTTTCCCCTAAGGCTCAAGGATCATTATGGAAGAGGGTCAGAAAGATTACAAGAACCAGGGGAGTAGATGTCTGCAGTGAAGCAGTATGCTGGACACGATAGTGCAGTAGCACACATGAATTCACAATGACTGGAACTATACATACAAGACTGCACAAAATCAAGAAGCCCAAATTCCAGTATGGCTAGAGGAGGGGTTTATGAAGTTCCACTCTTAGCTGAAGAGCTATGGGTAATTGATGGCTGCTGGGGAGAGGGAGCGTCAGTTTTTTTCAGGGATATGAACCTAAGTTGAGTGGGAAAAGTGGTGGTAGGGGATGGGGAGGAACTGGAAGGGAGAGAATGGGAATGGGGGCGTGGGTTTGAGTCAAACATATGCATGTATGAACATTAAAATGTTTCTATGTTATTATTTATTTATTTATTGAAACAAAGTCTCACTGTAGCCCTGGCTGGCCTGGACCTCTTTATGTAGACCAGGGTGGCCTCCATCTGACAGACATCTGCCTGCCTCTTCCTCCCAAGTACAGGGACTAAAGTTATGAGCCACAATGCCAGGGTATAAATAATATATATTTTTTAATGTAAAAATAAAAAAATGAGAACTTATCTTAAAATATATAAAATCTAAAAGAGAAAAAAAAAAGGTATGCTATACTCTCACTTTATCCTGGAACTTCCATCCATCTACCAACCTGATGAAGCTAGATCAGCCTTGAAGCCCAGTGTCTGAAGACTTTGACACTGCAGTCTAGCTGGTTGAAGCGGAGCCTCTTCCCAGCATGAGTTGGTACTATGATATGAGTGAGAAATAGATCTTTATTGCGTTTAGCCAGACATTTTGAAGTCAATTATTATAGTTGCTACTGTTACTTACGTTGGCTAATAGAATATCACAGATGGTCCATTTCCTGATATTTTAAAGGTACTTTCCATAATTATCTTAAGATAATTAGTTATTTCTCTTTGAATTTTCATTCAATTTGTATATGTGTAGTTTTTATTAGCAACATTTAAAAAATATTGTTTTTATATGGTGAATTTAAACAAATTATAACCAGTTGGATTACCATGTGTCCCCAGCCTCAAGGTCACAGGAAGGTGTAGGAAGGGTGTCTAACCCAAACAATATTTGTTTTATTTTTTTCTTAATGGCTGAAATGTCTTTTTCCATATTCACTCTGTTAGGAAGTTTTTATTTGAAAATAACATATAACATATTACATGTCCGCAGTCCTCAGTTTGTAAATATTGATATAAAGCTGGTAAGCTTTTGAAAACCATGCTGGTTCCCAAATGACTAGAAAAGAGGCAAATGCAGGTAAGAGCAGGACTGGAGAACTAGATTTGGCACAAAATGTTCCATTTGTGTTTCAAGGAGGAAACACCAATCTTGCCTCGGGAGGTAGCAGAGAAAGATGCCAAGTAAGCAGAGGTTTGCACTCTGCTGCTCCATCTTATTAAAGTTCATCCGAACAGTCTTCCTGCTGCTTTTCCTTTAAATACTAGAGTTTCATGTTCATTTTTAGTAAAAAGTTCAGTTCACAAATACATGTATTTTTCCACACGTCTCCAAAAGGAGAGAAATAAGGTTGCACTAATATTGAGTGAGGTGACAGGCACTGGCTCCCCTTCTTGGGGA